CTCCAGCAACTGTGAGCTAAATAAACCTTTCCTTCCTTCATTTTGAGTGTTGGGTATTTGTCCCAGCAATGAGTAAAAAGTAACTAAGACACCTGCTAAAATGAAAGTTCTCACTACCTCAGCTCAGACTTCCTAAATCAGGAGCTCTAGGGGGTGGGAATAGGTTTCTAATGCACAATTAGGTATAAAAACCAGTGGTTTTTCTCCATCCTCTTGAGCCCATTCTGCTTTTCATCTACCAGTAGTAAGGGCCTTAGAGTTTCAGTGCTGTTGTTCATCCTCATGTGCCCTACCTCCTTCAGATTCAACACATTTGTGTGCTCTGCTAGTTTTTGACTTTTTGAATAATGAAACATTTCCAGCCAATGCCCTTTACAATGGTTTTGATGAGTATTCCTGAAGGTCCATGTGTTGAAGGCATGGTGCCCAGAGTGATATTGTCAGGAGATGTGGAGCCTTTAGGAGGCAGGCCTGCTGGGAGGTTTTTGGATCATTGAGGAAGGGTCTTTGAAGATGACAGAGGGACCCTGGCCTATTCCCCTCCCTTTCTTGGCTCATGGGGTGAGCAGTTTGCTCTGCCATGTACTTCCCACTGTTCTCACAAAGAGTCCAAAAACAACAGGTCTGCCTGTTCTTGAATTGAGAGTTTCGAAACCATAAGCCAAAATAAACCCTTTCTCTCCATAAGTTAATTGTCTTGGGTATTAAGTTATAGTGATGAAAAGCTAGAACAGACCCTAGAAGCCCAGTTCAAGTACACTGTCACTGAACCCACCCAAATCTGTGACAAGACAGTGCAATGGATCACCATAGGCAACTGCCTGAACAAGACAGTTGTTCTGGCTGGTACTGCCTACCTTTTCACCCCATTGGCACTGCCTTTAGATTATTCCCACTATATTACTCTGCCAACTGGCATGCTGAGCTTATCCTGCTGTACCCTCTATGAGATCTCCTGGCAGTCTGACCCTTGCTGAAAGTACCAAGTGGAGTATGATGCCTATAAACTGCCTAAACTGCCTTTGCACACACTCACCTCCTCTACCTCGGTGGTGCTGGTCCAGAAAGACAGCCTGCACAGAAAGAGACTGCACAACACGATAGCACTGGCTGCCTTGGTGTACTGTGTAATGAAGATTTACGAACTCTATGCTGTATGACTCCAGTGATAGACAGAGGAACAGAAACACACAGCCCACAAGAGACAAGAGAACACAGGATGTGGATTGCCACAGTAATACTTTTTGCTCTGTGAGGCAGTGGAGCCTGGGAAGGTGTTTGGTTTAATATTTGTTATTTCTTAAAAAGAACACAGATTATGGGTGTACCAAGGGTTTTTTTTTTCAACTTATAAAAAAAATGTGGTGTGCATAACCCTGGAATGCGTCTGAGGCTATGGAAGTCTTAACTAGGCAGTGGACTGTAGATAGAAGCCAACGCTGCTGAGGGAGTGTGAACACGCTTGGGGGTCTTTAAGTATATTGTTTAACTGTTCCATTCAGAGCCAACCAGAAGCTATCAACTATGAAAATTGTGAGCTTTCCAAAAAAAATATTCTCAGAAGGAAGGGCTTTTTTTCTCAATAAGACCATGAAATAAACCAGAAAAGCTAAGGATGGTCACAAAACCTACATGGACAACACTCAACCTAAGCCATGCACAATTTGTGCCCTGTGTATGGATTTCATGTGCATACAATCCAGTGGGCCTCCCCATAAGGGCCTCCTGCTCTGTCACCAAGATGCCTAATGACAGGTAGCAAGAGAGAGGCTCTAGTGCCAAAATCTGAGGGACCTAAAAGCAGGAAATGTGTGTACCTTTCCTTCCATCTTTTGTCTTATGCTAAGGGAGCAGAGTGGCAGCCCCTGAGTGGAAGTGGTTGGCTGAGACATTGGGAGCAGCCAGGGAGTGGGTTAGTCACCAACACAATGCAGGACTCAGTCACTGAAGATGACCCAAGAAAGATGTTACATTACAAGCAGTGTAAATGGACACAAAAATGAGGAATCCTTTTTGTCTTAAATAGTTTATTCTTATTCAGCTCCTCACCTATGAATGTTTTTTTATTTTCATTTAAATCAGTATACTATGATCAAAAGACACAGCTAGTTGTCTTTTGGGTTATTCTATTACAGAGGCTGGTGTGCCTTAAGTGCCACACATAAATTGAATCAATTCAATTTGCAGACATTCATTCCAAAACCATGCTGAGCTGGGTTGCAAGGGGGTATGGTTTGATTCTGTTCTCCAGAAAGTGTGTGTCAGGAACTTAACATCCAACACAATAGTGCTGGGAAGTGGGGCCTAACTGCAGATGCTCAGGAGATGAAAGCCTCACTATCGAGAATGCTTGAATGTTGATTATAATAGAGCTCAAAACCAAAAGTTCTCTTTCTAAAGTGTTCTCTCCCCTTTTCCCCTTTTACATGGGGTCAAGCAACAAGCAGGCCCTCACCAGATGTGAGGCCCTTGATCTTGGACTTGCTAGCTTCCAGAACTGTAAAAGAAATGTACTTTTTAAAATAACTTACTAGGTGTGGAACTCAGTTATAGCAGCACAAAACTGAGTAAGACAAAGAGATAGGCAAATATCCAACACTGAGCAAGCATTACTGTCTCATTTCCTCATGAATCTTTGGAGCATATAGGAGTTTTCTCTGAATTTATAAGATTTCTGGAACAGAATGCCATACGTGCTTGGATTTCAAAAAGTTGAGACAAGATTGTACAATAGCTAAAATTACATTCTTCCTGGACTGGTAATAGAGCAAAATGATCTGGCACCAAAGCAAGCTCTTGATGAATTCAAGTTTAATGTTAGTTTTGTTTTTTAGTTAAATCTACCCAATGGGTGTGTTGACAAGGGCACATAAATACAAGTGCACACACAGCTAGGGAAAGTGCAGGAGACTATAAGATAGGTCTTGGTTCTCTTTTTTCTTGCCTTAGTTATTATTTACTTGTTTCAAGTGATTTTTAGTTTGAAGAAAAAGAAAAAGAAAAATACTATGCCATCACTTAAGGCAATGATAGAAAGGAAGCATATGCTGCGTCAACTCTTAACCTTGCTTTGATCTTTTATATCATCAAGAAGAAGAGCCAGGCCAGGGAGATAGCCGAGTAACATAAGCATCTGCATGGCAAGTACAGGGTCCAGAGCTCAAGTCTTGATATCAAAAAAAAGAAGAGTATTGAACCTCAAGCTAATAGACAAAAAAAAGCAAACAGGAAAATGTAGTACAAGCCAAGGAGACACAAATAGATCTTTCCATATAAACTTGTATACGCTAACCTCACCAAAGTACCTTTCAGAACACTGACTCAATTACAGGGCTGCAAGTCCAGATAGGAATCCTTGAAAAATTAGAAAGAGTAAAGAATGAGGACAGAAAATTTTCCATTGATTTTTTTAAAAAAGAAAGATAAGGTTAATCCTGGAAAGAACAGACTAATACACTTGATATTTACCCACAGAAAACCACACTCGTAAGTGAAATAAATCAGACTCACATGTGTAAACATCATATTTTCTCCTTAGTGTGAGAACTTGAAAGAGAAAATAAAATATGAAGAGAACAATAGATACTGGGAAAAGTCAATAAACTATTCAAAAGAAAGGAATTATTGAGTTGAAGAGAAGGACAGGAGAGAGGAAAGAGATATATTTATGTTTGTAAGCAGAATGGTTTGTACAACCGCACTGTGGATTTCTGCTGGTCTATGGAAAATAGCAGTTGGTGCTTAATTTGTTTCTTCTTTTTTCAATTCTTTTACTATTTTCTCTTCTTAATTTCTTATATATTTCTCTTTTTTCTTCTTCCAATTTTGCATGCATATATCTGGTAATATGAACAACTAATTTGAAGACAGTGCTATACTTTACAACAAATACTATGAAATTCATATTATTTTGTTTCATAAAATTCTACATCATTTGTAATTTTTCTGTTTCAATAGTTTTTTACTCTCTTTAAAAAAAAAAAAAACTTTTAAAAATAGGATAAAAAATGGCAGGCCGAGCTATCTCCCTGGCCCTGGACTACATTATTGTATAACTCTACCAATGAATTGCTTGTATATAACTAATCTCATAAAGTATTGACGTAGTGCTTCAAGCTTCCAGATTTGGCCCTACCCTAATCAGTGTGTTTATCAACAAGGTTTGAACTTAGAAAGGGGCAGGCAGAATTAGGCTAAGGTGGATCATCCATCTATACTACATCAGCACATAGAAATAATATTAAAAAATTTAAGACCTACACTGCATAAATCCTTAAATATAACTAAGACAAAATCACTAGAAACAAGTCAAGTAATTCTAACTAGTATACATGCATTAGACTAGCTGAACAGGGAGAAATTTGTCTTCAAATCACAGGAACAGACCCAGAAGTAATATTCCTGGTTAATTCCACCAGGCACTTTAGGACATAGTCTCAAAAACCCATTTAAAGACCAGTGCCTGCTATGCAAGTGCAAGGTCCTGAGCTTGATTCCAGTAGCCCCCAAAAGTGAAAAAATGCCAGGCATGGTGGCACATGACTATAATCCCAGCACTTGGGAGGCTGAGGCAGAAGGATCATTTTGAGTTCGAGACCAGCCTAGCCATTGTAAGGCCAGCCTAAACTGTATAATGAGACCCTGTCTCAAAAAGACAAAAAAAAAAAAAGAAAAAGAAAAAGGGTGTTAGCAAGATAGCTCAGCATATTAAGCACCTGCTTAGGCAAGCACAGGGACGAGGGTTTGATCCCAGCATCGATCACATGCTGAGCTGGTCCCACCCCCTGGGTGCCCTGAGCTGGCCACCAAGCAATCCCAGCACTGGGGAAACTGCAAACAGGAGGATTACTATGAGTCTGAGCTACGTAGTGAGACCCTGTACCAAATACATTGAAAACAAAACAGAGGGCCGGGCAGATGGCTCAGTGGAATAAGCGCTTCCCTGGCAAGCGCAAGGGCCTGAGTTCAATCCCCGGTTCCGCAAAAAAAAAAAGAAAACAAAACAGGTTTTTACTTCCCTGAGGGATGGGTGCAACCTTATTTCTCAAAACCAAACAAGAATGAAATAATCAAAAGGGTGGGGATTTAAGGAATAGAAACCAAAGAGAAAAGTAGCAAATTTAGTGTGAGAACAATGTAGGGGAAGAGCAGGACACAGTCAACAAATCACTTGAAGAACGTTGAATGATAAATTAGACCTCTCCACAATGCCTGGATGACTTAAGAAGAGAGAAGTGAGACCCCTCTCCAGAACCCATGGGACTAAGACTTAGGCACCATTAAGACATTTCTCCTAATCCCCACTGTCCAAAACTAAGGTGAGTTTCTGTGTGAAGTGCTGAGCTTTTGGCCACTGCATGGCTAGATAGTTGAGTCAAACTTGATACATGCAAAAAGAGGTGTAAATTCTAAGAAGTGGGTTTAAGACACTCAATTTCCCTGCTGTGTAGTTCGCCATGTGGTTTACTGCCTTACACGTAACATTCACAATCTAAGGAGGAAGGAAATAGATCCTGGTATTCTGAAGTTCAGCAATGGTCCATCCAGATTTGAATCCTATCTCCACCCCTTACTTACTGAATTTAACTAAAGAAACCCTGAGCAAGTTAGATTACTACCTTGGACCAGTTTCCCTTTTCACAAAATGAGAATCATGTGAGTATCTAAATTATGGATCTGCAGTGATGATTTAGTTAATTGTGGATGAAGCACTTACAAAACTGTCTTGCACAGCAGGAAAAGAGTATAAGTTACAATTTATTGTTATTTTTTCTGTAAGCTGCTCAGTACTATAAAGATTCCTCATTAGCAAGTTTGAGCAAAATATAAGATGTTCACCTGGGCAGGCAGGAGGCTATCATTAGGAGGTGATGGGAGACATTTGAGGCTTTACAGTCACTGTAAACATAAAAAGAAGTGCTATATGCAGCCAAGGAAAGCAGCTGGAGAATCTTCATTATTTGTAAATCCACATGAATTTAAAACCAAGATAGCATTGGCAGATATTCCTTGCCCTAGGAAGAAATGTTCTAGAAGGTTGAGGCAGGAAGATCACACATTTGAGCCTAAGCTGCACACTTAGACACTTGGCAAGATACTGCCTAAGGGGGGGAAAAAAAGGTAGGGATGTAGCTCAGTTCAAATCCCCTTGGTCTGGATGAATACTGGGTACTGAAAAACTATATAAGCTGCTGCCTCATCACTGTAGTTAGCAAAAGCCCATGAGATAGAGCCTAGAATCTAGGGAGCAATCTCTACTGAGGCTGGTGCTGGCTTCTCAGGTTCTTCTCCCAGATCCACAATCCGAATGGTGTTTTCCTTCTTGGAAAGCCAGAAAGCAGCATAAACTGGTTCTGAAAACTTACAGTCAAACTTGTGAAGCAGAGTCATGGCTTCATACTCTACACCATAGAAGGAAATGGTCCCTCCAGGGAAGTTGACATAGATGCCGAGCCTCCGGAAAGGGTCAGCTTTGAGTGGAGTCTCTGTGTCACTGTGCCAGGCCGTGTAGACCTTCCCATTCCAATGAAGGCTCCAGGAGAAGTTGTTTCCCGAAATACAGCTGTTGCTTTCCTCTCCTTTCCGGTCAATGCCTTTGCAGGTCAGGCCAACATAGGTGCCTGCCCCAGAAATCTCTACCTCAAAATAGTACCTGTGCAGGTACAGGCTCTGTTGGGACAGCACTTGGCGCCAATGCACAAACCTGCTCGGCAGGTCTGGATAGGGATGCTCCCAAGGTGAGGTGTTGGTGACTTTGCGGTTGTCCTCCTGTAGCCGGAGATACCTGTGTGCTGTGTCTGGGTCAAATGTGATGTCACACGCATCTGAGGAAATGTAGAAGACAGGAGAATATTTAACAACCTGATGACATAGTCACACAGAAATCTTTAAATGCAGGTGGACTCCAAAGCATGTATGAGAAAACACCTATCTCCCCATTCTCTGTTTGCCCCAGCTACAGTTCGCCTAGGAATACAGGTGGGTGGGGGCCAGAAAATGAGGAAATACAAGCCATTCTGCTTCCTTCCTGCATGAAGCTCATTTGGCATTGACTATATTACTACTGAGCAAAGTGAATAAAAACTAAATTCAACAAATAAAAATATTCCAGGCACTATTCCACTGAGTGGTAGTAAGCAATGGAATATAAGTGCTCATATGTCTGCATTTAATCCATCCATTCCTTTATTAAAAAAATTGATCAGCATTTATTATAATGAACCCACAAACATCCCCATAAGTATACTCTCTTCCCAGCCCCAGAAAATAATAGCCTTTACATGCTCACCATTAGTCAAGTCAAATTCAAAGTAGCTACTGACATTTCTTTTGTCTTTATCCTCACCCCCATCCCTCTCCACAAATATAGACAGCAGTCCTGTAGATTCTACTCACCACTCTGCAGCCCCTGTCTTAGCTCACATTTAAGCCACAACCGAATCTCACCTAGACTAGTACAACAGTAGCTTTACTAGTTGCCCATCATAATAATAATTCAAAAGGAAATTCTAGGAACGTTATTATGAGTAATAATATTAGAGAAAAGTTAGTATGTATAAAAATACTTTTAATGCAAAAGAACATCAATTATAATGAGTTACCTTTATTAAATGTTAACTAGTGTTAAGAATAAAGGGTCTTTGGGTTCTTCAACGAATTATATTGTCTATAAAATATAAATAGGCTTTTTTTTCAGGAAGCAGAAAAAAATAAAGGAAACTGTGGAAGCAAAGAAGTTTTAGGAAAACAAAGAACTGTAGCAAGAGTGTTTATCAGCATCTGAGTTGACAGAAAGGGAGAGAGCGAGAGAGAGCGAGAAAGAGTGAGAGAGAGCAAGAGAGAGCGAGGGAGAGAGAAGCTAGGTGTGATACATACCTATATTCCCAGCTACTTAGGAGTAGGGAAATCACAAATATGAGGATACTTAGTGAAACCTTGTCTCAAAATTAAAAATTTGAAGGTTGTATACTGTAGTTCAATGGTAGAGTACCATGGGTTTGATCGCTAGGACCTTCTGCCAGGAGATAAAAAACTTCATGGACTTGTGAACTATCACAAAGTACTTTTAAATTTTAATTTTTATACCACCTCTAGCTTGCTGAGGTCCAGCCAAAGGAGAAGAGGGTAAGGAGGTCCCTGCACCATGGCTTGTACCAAGCAGACTGCCCGTAAATCCACCGGTGGTAAAGCGCCCAGGAAACAATGGGCTACAAAAGCCGCTCGTAAGAGTGCGCCCTCTACTGGAGGGGTGAAGAAACCTCATCGTTCCGGGCCTGGGTCTGTGGCACTCCGTGACATTACATGGTACTGAACTTCTGATTCGCAAACTTCCTTTCCAGCATCTGGGGATGTAGCTCAATGGTGAAGAACTTTGCCTATCGTGCACAAGGCCCTACGCTCAACTTACAGTACCACAAAATAAAAACGGTTGGGAATGTATAGGCAGAATAATTGATGAAACCTGGATAAATTATGTAGATCAGCTGAATGTAGTGCAAAAATGTTAATTTCCTGGTTTTGATCAATGTACAATGTCTGTATAAAGTGTTAACATTTGGAGAAGCTGGGTGAAGAATATAGAGAAATTCTTTGCCTAATGTTTTCCATTACTTCAGAGTAAAATATGTTTAATTACATTTTAGAAAGTGTATCATTTAGGGATAGACAAGCAGTTGCAAGATTGAATCATCTTAGAGAAGTAGCAGTTCTAGCTTCAGCAAAGCGTTGCACTGACACCAGCAACTGGGGAAGGGTAAAGTACATAGAACTTACATTGGAGGAACTGTTCCCTGGTTCTGGGCTCAGGCTTTGAGGACCGGTACTTGGGCTGAACAATGGCAGACACTTGCGTTCTGATGTCGTACTCTAGAAAATCAGAGTTGTGAATGCACACTGTCCAGGTGGCGTGGAGAATCTCAGAAGCAGAACATCTTGGACACCCTTCCCAGTGCCTCCTGGGGTAAGAAGGGACTGGCAACTACACCATGGAACACACTCAGTGGATGAAATCTGCTTTTAAAAGATCCCAGACTGATTTGGGTTCCATTTAAAATACGGACATCAGTAACTGAGAAGCTAATTATAGAAATGCCAGCCAATTCCATCATGTGATTAACTTACCTTGTCTGGGTCTCAATTATAAAATAAAGTCAAGATAATAGTCCCTTAGTCACGTGACCTAACCAAAGAAGGTCTTGAAAATAAGACTTTCTCTGCGTTGCATTCCCTCCCTGTTTCTCTTGTTTTTCCATGCCTAGAGACACATCACAGCTATGGCCCAGAAAGCTGCTCACCTTCATTGGAAAAGTCCTGCAAGTTTTTCTTGTAGTTCTCCAGCAACTGGATTAAGTGTACAGTAGAGTCTGTGATGACCTTCCGGATGCCTGACAGCTTATCCTTCAGCCCTATGTAAATGCTAGGGAAGGCCGTGTCCTCGCCGTTCTTAAACTTGCAGTATTCCTACATACAGAAACAAAAAGGCAGAACTCACCTTGGATTCAGTATTTTCTAAATTGGACCTCTCCTTATGTCACTGTCTGAATCTGAAAACCGAGCTGATGGTAATGGGTGCTTCACATGAAAATAGTGTATGGCGAGTGTTTGCTCAGGATCTAATAACACAAAAAGCACTTTTCTGTGCTGCTAGACCTCTTAGAAGAAATTAATCTTTTAAAAAAGCAAATGAGAATGTGCTTTTAAAAATCATGAGTTTTTTAATTATTCTTTCAGTTTCTCAAAAGAATTTGTTCAACGGGAAAGAAAAACTGGGATGAGGAAAACAACAAATGAAGGGGAAAAGATATATTTAGGTATATATGCAGAATAGTTTGGATAATTATATTGTCAATTTCTGTTGGTCCTTTGAAAGGAGCAGTTAATGTTTAATTTTTTTTTCTTTTTTACAACTTTTTTGTTATTATTTTGGGTTTTGTTGTTGTTGTTGTTGTTGTTGTTTAAACAAATCTTGCACATTTATATCTGGTAGCCTGAGCAACTAATTTGAAGATAGCATCATGTAATACAGCAACCATTGTTGAATTCGTATTACTTTGATAAGTGAAATTTTGTATTGTATCTAATGCTGTTTTTTTTTAATTTTTTTTAATTTTATTTATTTGTGTGTGTGTGTGTGTGTGTGTGTGTGTGTGTGTGGCCAGCTCAGCCCACCAGGGGGCGTGGCTGACTGGCATGTGGTGCTGGGGGATTGAACCGCGGTTCCTGTGCTTTGTTGAGCTTGTTCTAAGTAGATGCTCTAGACCACTGAGCCATCTCACCAGCCCCTCTAATGCTGTTTTGTTCTATCATCATTTTTTAAAAGTAAATTAAAATAAAAATCATGAGGTACTAAATGCCTGTGAACAGTTGGAAAACACATCATAGACTTGAAAGGCAAAGAATAAAATCATTCTAGCCATGGCAGGCAACGCAAAAGCTGGTTGCAATTTTCTGAAGAGTCACAAATTAACTCTCAGACAAGAAAGCTGCCTTTTCCTTGTTGATTCCATCTAACACTTACTTTTCTTCAATTCCTATATTTTCCTTTCAAGTTGGAAAAGAGTTTTCATGTAGATTATCACAGCAAGCCACTTAAATTCCAAAACAGGAACTTAAGACTATTTTCAGGTATAATGCATTATCCATGCAAATGAAGCATCAAACAGCAGACTAGGCACAGCAGAAAACTTAAGTGATGGAAATATTCAGACCAAATGCATATATTCATAAAAAATTCTCAACTGGAGAGTTAATAGAAAGATAAACATTTTAATGTTATAAAAAGATTTGGTATCATGCATTTAAAAGCAACATTTAAAATCAATAGAAAAAAATCAATAGAAGAAAATACAAATGTTCCTACTTTGATTAGTTTATACTCTGGAGAAATAATCTCCTACTGCAACTATATGTCTTTTTTACTCCTTAGGTAGGGGACTTTGGGAGAAACTCATGATGCAAAAAAGTCAAATTTTTATCTATATTGTTTGTATCTTGATATTTAAATATCAAAGGAACAGAGAGATAGTATCCATACTTTTGGCTCTTTGTCTTTGTATGTCTCTTTTACTCATGAAAATGTACTTTTTCCCATTTTTGTGTCTTTCAAAACAAAATTTTCCAACTGGAAGAAAATTATGTTTTCAAAATTACTAGCAAGAAAACTTACTTGTATTTTGGAATATTAAAACTGGATAAAACCTTGTCAATTCCTCCCACTAGCTGGTTTGATAAGTGCGGAGTTTGAGACTTGAAGAGGTAAAGTCACACACACACACACACACACACACACACACACACACACAAGCTATTGAGTGACAGATCCAGGATGACCCTGGAGCTCATCTCTCAACCTACTGTTCCTTCCCTGCAAGATAACATCCTTCAGCTCCGGCTCTCCTGGCATATCCACTGATGCCTAATGGCATCCTGTAATGGAAAATTCCATTTTCTCTGTGGAGCCTGCCTCAGCTGCTCCAGCAGACAGAGACACAGCTGCCTGAAAAGCAGCAGATACCCACTCTCATCCCAGCCAGTTACACCTCATGTAGCTACAGACTGCTGGAGTGCTCTTCTGCACTCATCGCTCTCCCATCTAAAATCTTGCACAGCCAGATGCCTGCCTGCCTGGTCCTGCTAACCTCATCTCCCATCATTATGAGCCCAGCATCCCATGGTCCATCCTTGGGCAAAGGTCTTATTTCCCCAAGCCAGCAGCTACCTCTGTGCCTTTGCATATGGTAGTCCATCTACCTGGAACATACTACATCTTGAGCCTAACATACCTTCCAGGACCTCCCTGGCTTTGAGCAGTCCCATCTCCTGTCCTGCACTCCTGTACACTGCTGAATCAAGACCTGCTTCTATCTTCCCACAGTTCCTGACCACCCCATTTGTCAAAAGGCAGTCCCACTCATAGAAGGCCTGGTGGAGCAAGAATGCTCCACGGAGCAGTGCATGGATTCCTCCTCCTACCCCACCTCTGTACCTCCAGGAAGAGAACAGTGTTGCTGATGGCTGCCAACCTCTCCAGCTCCTGCTTGCTTTTCTCCATCTCTGCACTCCTGTACTCCAGGTGGGTCTTGATGCCATTGGCCTGGTTCAGAGCAGCTTGCTCCTTTTCCTCCAAGAAGAGCATGACATCAGCCTGCGCCTTCCTCACAGCAGCCAGGAGTTCCCCGAACTGCTCTTCAGCTACCGCCTTTACCTCTGACACTGACACCTGAGGTTGAAGGTGGAGTAGAAGGGGAAGCAGACCAGAATCTGTTAGTGAGGATCTGATTTTATCCAAATTCACTGTACATAAACATTAACTTGAAAAACCTGTAAATTAAGGAGCAAATGGTCTACTATGAAGGGAAACTTTCATTCTCATGGAAACGGTGGGCTCCTGGCAAAAGGTCTTACTCTCCCAGGTATAAATTCCTTACCAATTGTGAACTTAGTCTCCTTAGTCTCTTCATCCATTTGATGTGAATTATTATATAACTTCTAGGGTTGCTTCCAGTTTTGACAGTCTGTGGCTATTAGTCAAGTTTCTGAAAGCAGTTTTGCTACCATGGCAATGCCTATATTTAGTACACTTGGAGTTACATTGCAATAAATATTTTTATTGTATACATGAATAGTATAAATCAACTTTCTTAGCATTTTGTTACATCCATTTAAGATTACTGAGTCAGCTTGAGCCAAAAGTATATCTAAGACTATAGTGTTTCCACGGGGCACAGAGCCCCCCATAAAACATTTTGGGTAAGAATAGACAAACACAGCACCCAAGCAATTGCAGGATCAATATGCAGGATGAGCATATTGATGCAGAAGAGAATGATACAATCAGACCACCAAACAAAAACCTTCATACTAAAGGGTTTGCATGAAGACATTTGTATGTGTGGAATTTTTCACATGTTGAGTGTCCTTTAGGAATGCATTCAAGCAATATCACATCTACAACATCAATCCAAGTTCTAAATGATTTTTTTTTCTTTTCTTTGATGTTTTTGTCTACCTGTTTTTTTGGTGGGATTGGAAGTGGTTTAAAACAGGGTCTTACTAAGTAGTTCAGGTTAGCCTTGAACTCACTGTATACCCTAGGCTGGCCTCAAAATCATGGCAATCTTTCTGCCTCAGCTGCCTAAGTGATGGAATCATAGGCATACATGCCTGTCTGGTTTGGTGGTTCTTAAGCATGTAGATGGCTCCCTCTGATAGTGTCCAGTTGAAGTCTGTTGTACAAACATTAGTTACCTTGTTCAGCTGAATATAAATGTCTTGAGTACAATTTCCTTTGCTCTACCACACAGCCCAGAGTCCAGTCTCTACCTGCTTCATTCTCCCCTGTTGTCCCTACCCACCTCCAATTCCTCTGCAGTCCTTTCCTGTGCTGTTTTCCTGTTCCCTCTCCCAGAGGTGAGGGCCAAGACAGCAGATATCCTTGTAGCAGAGACTGTAGATGCATCTCTCTTCCATGGAATCCAGAAAAAATAAGACCCAGATCCAAAAAGAGTCTCAGTAAGCAAAGGACTCAGAAAGGACATGATGGGTAGTTCAGCTGGGCTTCCTCTCATGCTGTAGGGGCTTTGGGAAAGACCTTGGAGGTCATCCCATCAAACTGACTCCTTGCTGGAACCAGGGACAAGCAGAGCTTAGCCCTTGATCATGGTGGACACCAGATGAAAGATGCGCTTTATATCTCTAATGGACTAAACATACTATTTGGGTTGCTACTGAGAAGGTGATAAAAAGACAAAGAAGCCATTTCTCCCTAGCAATTACAGAACCAGTTGTTTGTAAATGTTGTCTTCTTGTCATTTTAAACACTAAACTATGAGATAATTAACCATAGACAGACTTAAATATAAATATCAAATTATATTTTCACATTGTAAATATGGAAAGAAAAGATGCAGATGGTTACCATAGAAGAGATGTCAGTTTTGCTTATTACTCTTGGTGGGAATAGTTGTTAGCATCTTACCTAAGCTCTGCATTATATAACATGTTCTAGCTCACTGGCTCCCTCTCTTTTTCTGTCCCATCTGACTCCAGGTGTCCAGGTTCCATGAGTCATAGGGGCCAGTGGGGCTCCATGCCCTACCCACTCCTGATCACCAGTGTAAAGCAGGAGTTGAATAGGACACAGAACCAACATGAGGGAGTCTTGGGAAAAGAGCAGAAGCCACTTACTATAATTATACTTATTATAATCATATTTACAATAATTGTATCATGTGGACTCCTCAGAGAAGCATGATACTATAAACTAAGAGGCAGGGATCGGAAGGTAAGATTCAGGATCCAAATCTCTCCCCAACCTCACTGAGGCCATGCTGGGGAAAATGGCCTCAAATGATGTCAGTGAATTGACTCCTGGTCTGGCTTCCCCTTCGTAAATTTTCCCACTGAGAAATATTGCTTTCCTGCATATAAGGTGGAATGTGTAAAGGGTATTATTTACTACTCAGTGATATGAGTAAATACTAGAGAAAGAAGGGACCATGAAAATATCAAAGTAGTCAATTGTTCGTAGTTTAAATATTTGAGGACAGTACATACTCCTGTCAATACATTGATTCATTCTTAGGCCAAGGGAGCAATATTTCAAGTTTTTTCTGTTCTGTTAATTTAAGGAGGCCATGACAAATTTTATCACCTCTCTGTGTCTTCCTAGCTTTTGTCATTATGCCATTGTAATAGCTACCTCCTCTGCTCACCCTGTCATTATGGGTAGGAATCAAAGTGTCTGAAATTAAACAGCCAGAAAAAGATAAGATGCTCATTGTGATTCTCTTGGACATTGACAGCCTAGAAACCAACAAGCAGAAGGTTTCTAATCTTTAAAGTTACAATTATTTTTCTTCTTTTATTAAGATATTTTAGGTAAGAAAGAGCTTTTAGCCTTCAGCTGCTAGTTAGTTATAAGCATCAGAGTGGAAATTAAATTGAAGTGGATTGTGTATTAGACTGGATGGATAGATACGTGTGTGTGGCTGTGTGGCCATGTAGCTTTGTGCATAGACTGAGGGCCACAGGACAGATAGATGGATAGAAGGATGCATGGCCAATGGGTAAACAAGTGGAAAAGTAGATGGGTATGTGTGTGGGTGGATGGATAAATGGATAGGTGGATAAATCATGAATGATATGGATGGGGTGACTCGGTAGGTAGACGGAATTGTCATCTCAGGTGCTGACAGTGAATACTGACCTACTCCTAACTTACTGCCCTAGAGTAACTATTTGACATTCTCTTGGGTTGCCACTAGAGAAAAATATTTGTAAAGTTCTGCTTTAGTCCACTTAGAGTCTATTTGGAAAGTGATTATAAATCAGACAGACTAAAGCTAACCTAGTTTATCAAGTACTATCCACTAACCCATGAGTTCCCAACTCTTTTATTACAACTGTTGAGACAAAGAACTGGTGAGACATAATACAGAACCAGGGTCATTATGGAAGATACAGTAATTCCTCTGACTCAATATCTCACACACACACACACACACACACACACACACACACACACACTTTTCTCCTCATTAAGAAAGCACATAAAAAAAAAAAAGCACATGAAAAGCTAGGCATGATGGCACACACCTTTAATCCCAGAACTTGGAAGGCTTAGGCAGAAAGATCACCGTGAATTCAAGGCTGGCCTGGGCTACATAATCAATTCAAGGCCACCCTGAACTATGTAAGAGACTTTGTCTCAAAAAAAAAAAAAAAAAAGCACATACATTCTTATGTAGAAATAAAAATGTAGTTAATTTTGGATTAGTTTTCTACTCTTTAATACTAAAAAGTATATCATTTGCCAGTTTTAAAACTTAAGCCAATTTCATAATAAATCTAGACAGCAAGGTGAGGCTACCCCATAATTAGCCAACTGGATCCACAATTGTCACCTGTTAGATATCCCACTGTACTTATAATCCACTTATAATCCCAAGTGGGTGTGGCTAGCCCCATGGCTGCAGCCAGCTATGCAGAAACCTGATAAACAATCTAGACCAGTCTTACCAAAACAGATTTATGGTTGGTTTGGAGTCTTGCAATGGCATTTTCATTCAGTTTGAGTTTCTGTTCCAGGTCCAACCGTATGCACTGAAGTTCAGCCTAGGAAGCAGAAAGGAAAGGAAAAAATTAAAGAAGGAACCCAGTGCATAGACAAGGTCCCAAGAGCAATGGCATAGTCTAACCTTGAGGTCCTTAACCCAGCCCTTCTTCTTCCTCTTTTTAAAATTTTTAATATATTTAGTACAGGATCTACAGACTCTCACTACACAGATTGGACTCATAGTGATCCTCCTGTTTTCATCCTCCCAAGCTCTGGGATTACAGGCACACACCTCAAGGCCCAGTCTCAATCATTGTCTCAGCACACCCTGGGGGCGGGGCCAGCAAGGCATGGCTGGGATTGAACTCTGGTTCCTGCATCTCCCTAAGCAGACACTTTAATCCGTTGAGCTATCTGGCTGATCCTAACCCTGCCCTTGTTCCCTGAAGAGTTTGATCTCTCTTACTGACCTCAGAAGCCACTCTAGAGGTTGCAAAGTCTTGGTTGTATGCCAGGGCCCTTTAGGGTGTGACCTCAGTATGAGTGAGCTAAAATGTACTGAGCACCTACAGTTAGCATTTATATGGATACTTCTTACCACCCTTATTATACCCACATAAGGGCAAAAATGTTTCTATTCTGCAGGTGAAAAAAATGAGTCATTTTCCAAGATTAACAGCTCATCAAGTGGAGCCGAACCTAGACTTGTTCACCCAGAATAAGCAATGATGCCAAGCAATCAGGTGGGAGCCCAGGATTTTTACTTAGAGCTGAGACTTCAGACAAGTTTACATATATCCTTATTTTTCTTATATTCACACCAAACATAAAAACACTTTTGTGACCAAAATATACTAGCTTTCATACACACACACACACATGCACACACACACACACATGCACACACACACACATGCACACACACACACATGCACACACACACACATGCACACACACACATACACACACACACACCAAAAAGCTGACATCAGTTGGGTATCTACAATTCAGCTCAGTTCCAATCCTATCATCTCCCAGGAGCTAGTGTCAAGATCATAGATCAAAGGCCTAACCCCACAAGTCTGTGCACACCTCACCACTTCTGATGCCAATTCCAAGTCTAAGTAATCACTTGGGCCCCTCACCAACTGCTACCCGCCCTAATCTTATACTGCCTGCTTGACCTAATTAAGTTTCTATCCTATCGTAACCTTGTTTATCTTTGAGGATAAGATCCTTGAAGACCAAAAATCCCTCTTCAGATAGGTTAGTGAAAAATGTTTAGATCTAAGAAGGCTGCCAGAGTGACCGCCAGACAACCTCTAAATGCATTATAATCCAGTTTGCATGTGGGTAAATGACACATCCCCAATGCCAGACAGTTGAGAAGTGTCATGACGATAGCTGCTCCAAAAAAACATGAAAGCAGCAGAGAAGTGACACCTGAATTCTCAGAAAATCTCTGCCCATTTCCACAAAAGACATGAAGGTTCCTCCCCTCTATGAGCTTTTTCCTCTCCTTTATTTCCTTTAGCCTGTATCTATAACCTCCTGACCCCAAACCAATAGGGAAGTTGATTTCCAAGTTTATCTCCCATCTCTTGACCTATTTTATTCAAAACTCAAAGTGATCTTTGCTGTTTAAATGAAGCTCACATCAAAGACAGCAAAGTACAATACAAAAACCATGGCTGAATACCTCTCATCTTGTTCTTCTAAATGGGTACCATTTCTAATGTCTTCTCAATTAAGGTTCTCTTTTTTAAAAAAATATGTAAAGTAAAAAACAACAGGAAAAAAGTTTATTAAAAGTAAGCATTAGGGTGTCGGGCGTGCTGCGGCGCTGCGGAAGCCTGAGGGCGCCGCGGAAGGAGCCGGACCCCGAGTCGCGGTGGAATGACGGATGGTTCTGCAGAGTGAAGACTTAAATCCGAGATCATGGCAAAACATCTGAAGTTCATTGCCAGGACTGTGATGGTACAAGATGGGAACGTGGAAGGTGCATACAGGACACTAAACAGAATTCTCACGATGGATGGGCTCATTGAGGACATTAAGCGACGAAGATATTATGAAAAGCCTTGCCGCCGCCGCCAGCGGGAAAGCTATGAAACCTGCCGGCGGATCTACAACATGGAAATGGCTCGAAAGATCAACTTCTTGATGAGAAAAAATCGTCCAGATCCATGGCAGGGCTGCTGAAGCCTGTGGTTAGCAGGTTCACATCCAGTTTGTGTCTCCACGTCTTCCTTGAAACTCATTTTGTTACCTTTCTCTATAATAAACTCAGTCACATTTATGCAGTAAGGTCTACATACATAAAACCATCCTACTAATGAGCAGCACCCCCTCTTTTATTACGGAGAAACTGAATCCAAAGCAGTAAGGAATAAAGTGATGATTGCCAGGTCTTGGGAGAAGGGGCAGTTTGGGTCAGAGTTTCAGTTTGCTGAGATGAAAAAGTTCTGAAAATGGATGGTGGTGACGGTTGCAGAGTGAATGTACTTAATGCTGCTGAAGTGTACACTTAAGTGGTTCAGAGCAGTGATCAGACGTTTTAGAGCTTTCAGTGATACAAACAGCCCACTGCAGTAGTACACGCGACATAGGTTTGCCACCACTAATTTAGAGTAATAAAAATGGGAAACATGGGGAGGTGATTTTTTGAAACATGAGGAGGCAAGGTGTGGTGGTGTACACTTGTAATCTCAGCACTCAGGAGGCTGAGGAAGTTGTGGATTCAAGACCAGCCTGGGCTACAAAGAGAACTCAAGTCCAGCCTGAGATGCATAGTGAGACCATATCTCTCTCTTTTTTTTTTTTTTGACAGAACTGGGGATTGAACTCAGATCCTTGCATTTGCCAGTCAAGTGCTTATCCTACTGAGCCATCTCCCTGGCCCCTAGACCATATCTCAAAATAGACCAAAAAAAAAAAAAGGGAGAAGGTGAGAAAATTTTGCAAAATCTAGTGGAGTATATCCAGACTGGTCTGGGAGTCATGGTGATCCTCCTGCCTCAGCCTCTCAAATGGTGGGATTTTAGGTATGCACTACCACACCTGGCTTCAAAGCAAAATCTCATTGGAAAAGAATGTTACTCTTGGGGTGGGTGGTACTGGAAATTTAACCAAGGGCCCTTGCACTGAGCTACATGCCCAGCCCTTTTTATTTTGAGACAGAGTCTCAGTTGAATTGCCCAGGCTGGGCTCAAATCTGTGATCCTATTGTCTCAATCTTCCAGTAGATGCTGGAACTTAGCACGATACCCTGCTAAGCATGTTGCTTTATTTATTTTTATTTTTATTTTTTTTCTTTTAAGCTTGTTACTCTATTGAGTTGTCCACCTCACCAGTATGTGAGTAAAGAGGAAAGGAGTTATGTGTGTATTTGGAATAAATTGTGCCTCTAAAATACCTAACCCCTCTGGGCCTGGTAGCTCATTAAGGACATTAGCAATGAAGATACTATAAGAAGTTCCCAGCACCGGAGACTAGAGGTGAGAGAACAGCCTGAACTGCACAGGGAGACCTTACCATGATGAAAGAAAACAGTCACGCACCAGAGCAGAGTGCTGGAATCAACAAATCCAAGCCAGCTTGGCTGGTCTAGCTTAGTGGTATTTGCGAGGCTGAGACAGGAAGATCCAGCTGAGCCATCCCAGACCATACAGTGAGACCTTGCTCAAAAGCAAACTCGGGGGCTGGTGAGAGGGCTCAGTGGTCTAAAGCACTTACTTAGAACAAGCTTAGCAAAGCACAAGGGGCCGCGCTTCAATCCCCCAGCACCACATGCCAGCCAGCCCGCCCCCTGGTGGGCTGAGCTGGTCACACACACACAATAAATAAATATTTTTTAAAAATTAAAAAAAAAAAAGTAAGCATTAATGTTCAGTTATTTTTGAACATTGGATCAATTTTGTATATCTATATCTGAACAAATCTGAACAGATTTGATGATGAAAATATGTAATATAACAATCATTGTTAAATGTTTATTCTTGTTTTAAAACTGTACCATTTGTACTATTCCTTGTTACTCTATTTTTGTCTTTGTTTCTACTATTTGTTTTTACTCTTGAAAATAAAATAAAATAAGAAGAAAAATGAAGCTCACTCTTATTATTTGTTCCACAATTCCAAGAGGAGAAAAGGATTCAGAGATTCGAAATTAGTAATATAACCAGCTATAAGGTTCCCACTACCCTCTTCTCACTTTCTTATCTCACAACTTGTCTTTAAATCTCCATTTCTCCACCTATGAAATGAAAATAAATACTGCCTACTTCCAAAAGTTATAATAATATAAATGAAATAACATATATTAATAAGAACTTTGTTTCGAACCAGGCATGTTGTAAATACACCAGAAATGTCATTGATTGGCCTTGATGTTCTCATCATCACTATTATTCTTACCCACAACTGATTTCATTTATATGC